GTGACGAGCCTGTGATAAGGGATAAATTCTACAATGGAAATGTGAAGACAGAGAGAGGTACAGTGGCTCATTCAAAAATACCTTTAATCATTGTCGCTATGCACCTGTTTTAGGACCAAAAACTACCACTGGGTGGTGCCCAACTACTCGCATTGAGGTCATTGAAAAAAGTTGTATAATATAAGAGCTTGCTAGAAATGGCTCTTAAAGTAAATGGTGCCTTATGTTGCAGTTTGTTTTTATTATTCTAGCTTCTTTATTCTTTTCCCCCAGGGGCTGTTGTTCTCCGGTTAGCCAAGTCATGGTTTCGGATTGGATCTTTAGAAATTCTGTCTCAGAGTGGAGAGATAGACCTCCTGAGGTTAGTATGGTCACATGGAAGCCCACTGAGGCTTCCTTCACCTTCCATGGCCTCTTGTTACATATTATATACTGCTGCTTGTAAAATAATGCTTTTTTTCTTCTGATTTTAGAAAGCTGCTGAACTTTGTGATTGATGAGCATTTTTCCTCAATCAATTCAGACGACCCAGATAAATATTTGGTAAATTGAAAAAACAATTGTCTCAATTACAAGGTTTCTTTAATATAGTTAAAAATAAGTATTTATATATTCCTTTGAGGAACTTCCTTGCTTCATGCTTAATATCTTTGCTTTATTCTCTAGGTATTTTATTCCACAGTTGTAAATGAAACAGCCAATCTGATTGCCCAGTGGATGTCTGTTGGTTTTGCACACGGTGAGTGGTGTCTGAACATTTTGTCACACAGTTTGTTGTTTTACCAACATCCACTGATATTTATTGTGTGTTATCACGACAGGTGTGTGCAACACTGACAACTTCAGCCTCCTGTCCATCACCATCGACTACGGGCCGTTTGGCTTCATGGAGGCGTATGACCCCGGTGAGTACAATGACTTTGCTTTATAGAAATAACGGAATGTCTAGTTCTTTTGTCCAATGTCAAATAAAGCTTTATCGTTACAGGTTTTGTCCCCAACACATCTGATGATGAGGGCAGATACAGCGTTGGAGCTCAGGCAAACGTCGGACTGTTCAACCTGGAGAAGCTCTTAAATGCGCTCAGCCCTGTGCTCTCTAAACATCAGCAGAACCAGTAAGAACAACAGCTGTTCAAATTAAGCGGTGCCTTGACACCAAGTGCAACAACAATGAGGCAAGGCATGTTTATTTATATAGCACATTCCAATAACCAGGCAATTACAAAATTGATTTGCAAAAAGACGTAGTGCAAGAGAAACACATAATGTTATTACATAGATTTAAAAAAAGCTATTGGACTTAACATAAAACTCAGCTAAACTAGAATAAGACAGGAATAGAAGTTACAAGGCTCTGTACAATCTGAGTATAATACTTTTAAAATAAAAGGCAGCGGCAAACTGAAAAGTATTTGTCCTTGATTTTAAAAGAAGGGATAGTTGAAGCACACCTTTTGGTTTCTGGCAGTTTGTTTGTATTGATCATAAAAACAGAACTTGAACTGAGTGTTCAAATACACCATCTGGTGCACATTACTAATAAAATGAATAAATGACGATAGAATTGACCCTGTAATATTGGTCAGCAACATCATATTTTTCTCTTCTCCGATTTTCATTTAGAAATGTTTCATTAAAACTTTCTTTCTTTCAGGGCGCAAAGTATTTTGAAAGGATATGCCAATATTAACCAGATGAGGTGAGGTCCACATGAAATAATGTATTTTCTCTATGTTGTCCCTAATGATATACTGTATCCAACCAGTGAGTCAATATATATTTGATTTTACAGCTTTATTCATGCTTTCAGGATTCACCAACATTTTAAAGCTAAACTAGGGCTTCTAGGTGAAGAGGAGGAAGATGGCTACCTCATTGCCTTCCTGCTTAAGGCAAGCCATTGACAATCTTACATAATTCATATCAGTCTACTGAATGGATTTAATCTCACTTTCTGTTTACTGGCTGTAACTTATTCTTACTCCCAATCTATTTGTGTTTGTTTCACCAGATGATGGAGGACACTCAGTCAGACTTCACCATGACCTTCAGGCAGCTCAGTGAAGTTTCAGCCCAGCAGCTTCACAACAGGAAGTTCCCACAGGTAGAGAAGCGCTGAGGCAGCAGTTTGTCATGTTTCTGTTTTTAGATTTGATCATGACATCTTTCATATCTAAATCCAGCCCTCATCGTGCTGGTCATCATGTTCCTTCTAATTGGGTGTTTAGTAGATCAAATATAGGGTGACAAATTACTTACAATATTATATAAATGACACTTTTGGATAATATTCTCCAATCTATATGGCAAGTTAATTTGTGTTACATACATTAGTCCACATTCAAGAAACTGATTTTGCATCAGCAGAGATATTCAGAACCTTTTTGCTTGTTTTTGAATTAGATGTGGGCTCTTGAAGACTTGTCATCCCACAAGCTCTTCTCTGATTGGCTCAGCATGTTCCTGCTGCGGCTCAGCAGGTAAGCAAATCATATTAAATAATGGCTCACCATTCTGAAGTTAAAGAGTTTGAAGATATTCTCAAATGTGTGCAAGGTACTTATACTCATTTGGTGTCATAATGTTGTTTTTGTAGTTTGTTAGATTGTATAAGAGTTGATTTAAATGTTTGTTCTCTCTGTTCAGACAACTACATGATAGTGATTTGCAGCGTCAACACAGGATGAAAAGTAAGCCACTAAACCCTCATACTAAAGTTGATGTAAAGATAAAATAGTTAATTATAGGAACTGTGAGTAATAGCATTGTGCTTCAAAACAGTATATAACAAGGAATACAACTTTACCAAAGTCTTTAATGTGATAATGGTTTAAACTGGACCAACTTTGACTGATTGTGAAAATTATCTTACAGATGTAAATCCTCGATATGTGCTGAGGAACTGGATGGCAGAGTCTGCTATAAGTAAAGTTGAGATGAAAGATTTTTCTGAGGTGTGTGTATATGATGTCCATCTAATTAAAACAGGATCTCCACAAGGTATTAAAAGTTGATAAATCAATTTAACAATCTTACTGTATCTACGCAAGACTGAGGCTATTACCATAATTTGCAATATGCGCCTGTAAAGTATTCCATCATTTGTTTAAAGGTCCCATGACATGCTTTTGCGGTTATTTCCCATCCCCTTGTGTGTTATGTAGCTTTTTATGCATGTAAACGGTCTGCAAACTCTCAAAGTACACCCTGTAGCAAGTAAAACTCTAACACAGAAAATACCTGTCTATGCTGCTCTTTGGAGATTTTTCTCAGCCTGGATGAGTGTGTGTGCTCACTGCTCAGGCTGAGTTCCGTGGTGTCTCGCAGACCCCACGCAGCAACCAGGAAACGACACCAGTAACCCAGCTCACACTGTCCGCTCCTCGAGCCTCAAAGGGCGGAGCAGCGAGCCCCGCAACGTCCCGCCAACACGGCACCCAGACCCCACGCAGCATTCTCATCTGTTTGTCATTACTGGTGTCATTTTCTGGTTGCTAACAAATTCCATTGTAAAACATAAACACTGATGTCCAGCTGTAAAGGTGGTTGACTAATCAGAGCACAGTGGGCTCATAGGCTGGTGGGGGGGTGGGGCGGGAGCTCCAACTCCAACAAGGCGCGTAGGAGTGAGTGAATACACATACTATACAGAGATGCTGTATGAGAAACCAATGTGATTTTGGAACATTGAACAATGTAAATCTATTCTAGTAGACCTCGACAATGGAATTATGATCAGTAGAAATGGCCATGACATGGGACCTTTTTTATATGGCGTAGTCCATTGTGAATTATGCTTTGCAATTAGGTGATGCTATACTATGAACTTTTGTATGAATTACTATATTATGAAATATTACACTGACTTCTCTTTCCAACACACTTTTTTATTAATGTGTTTGGTAAAATATTAAATATATAGTAAACGTTTTATATTGCTTTTATGTCATGCAATACTATGACATACCTCACAATGGAATTGTACCACCCCTTTTTATCCCATTCATTACTAATACATATCATTACCAAATAAGTAATACCATTAACTCCATGATTCTTGCATAATCCCTTTATTAAATAATTGTATTTTATCTTCAAAATCATAGCAATGCCCCCTTTTTTCTTTCCTGTTAAAAGTTGTGATTAGTTTTAACCTAGTCTTTTTTTTCCCCCCACTAGATGGAGTTGCTGCACCACATCCTGTCACATCCCTATGTTACACAAGAGACTGCAGAGGAGGCGGGCTATGCAGCAAGACCCCCGCTTTGGGCTAAGAGGTTAAAGGTCAGCTGTTCCTCTTGAGAGATTATTGGAGACAGCAACAACAACACTAAAGAGAAGAAGAATAGCAGCATACTTGCACTCTTTGGTGTGATTTAGTAAATTCTCACATGCTGGTGGAAACGATTTGTTCCCAAATGTCAAGGTCATGGCTTTTAAATGTTTTTCTACTGCATATTTACATAAACCTATATTAAAAGATGCTACAGTTGAGGCTGTCCTGTTGCTTTTTTAAGGATCTAGGTTTACATACAGATTAACTTTTCACCTTAAACACATAAAGCAAGCACACACCAGAGCTGCACAATGAAAACTAGGTCCATTGCTTTTTATATTTCCCAAAATATAACAGAAAAGAGACTTGGTTATTCATTCCAGTAAAACATGTTGTTCATGAATGCTTATGCCAGGTTTTTATTTAGCTTTTTTAAAATCATTTTAACCCTTGTGTTGTGTTCAAAAGCTGTTACCGTTCATGGTGTTCGCGGGTCAATTTTGACCCATGATTTATCTCAGTCCAAAACACACACAAAAAATGACAATCATCCAATATTGTTTTAACTACATCATAACTAACTTATAATGCATTCATAACCATACAATCCTGTTGTAATTTAATGTTATGGCCCAAAACACATTACACCACATATTGTGCATGTGTGTGTTCAGGTTCAAGTGTTAGTGTACATATTCTTTGAGAAAGGTTGAGTTCCCGTGGGGGGAGGTGGGCAGAGGGAGGGGAGACCAGGTGCATGTTGCGAAAAATTGTTAGTTGATGAAGGGGGTGGGGCTGGGGTGTCTCAAGTCAAAGATTAATCTTGATTGGGCCAAATTTGACCTTGAGTCACCCAAAAACAATTCTGCTGGGTCTCCCCAGACCCGAACACCAAATTATACACTTTTTTTTTTTTAGAGATCTTCAGACTTTGCTAAAATTGTCAAGGTCACGGGAGACTCGAACACAAAAGGGTTAAACTATTAATGTTTTACAGAGATAAGGAAAAGTGTTTTATAATATTTACAGACCTCCATTCAAACGTGACAAATATGTACACTTCCATAAAACTGTCTCATTGCAGTCCGATACATTATTATATCCATTACATCACCTTTAAAAAAAATTACTTGTTTTTAACAGATTCTTTAATAATTCTGATAACAGATTTCATCATGTCTACCTGCAGCAAAAATGACTGACAGGTTTTACATAAAACATGTTTTAATCTCTTTGTTCTTAGGAATATTTACACTTTTACTTAATTCATGCATGATTATGTCTAGGATAAGTTGTTAGAATGGATGTAAAGTCCATATTGATCTCCCCTGGCTTCATGTTGGAGAAGTACACAGTTTTTTTTAACGCTTCTTGTTCATGGCCAGCATCAGTTCTGACATGAAGTCTCCACCTCCTCCCGCTTCTCCCTGCAGCGATGGAGTAGTCCTCTTTGGCGGAGCAGGCGGTACCTTCCTCACTGAGCCGGAAGGCCGCACCGGGGCTCTTGGGGCAGCAGGTGGAGGGGGAGGTGGAGGGGGTGCTCCAGCTCCAGTGAACATTGGTGGAGGCGGAGGTAAAAACCCTGGATCTGGCGGTGGAGGAGGCAGGTCCATACTCATTGGGGGAGGCGGCGGTGGTAGGGAGTTCATCGGAGGAGGAGGAAGGGAACCAAAGCCAGTGGATCGAGGAGGGGGTGGGAGGAAGTCGGGCGGGGCCTCCGAGGCATCATCCATGGGTGGCCCCAACGGTGGAGGAGGAAGGCCTCCCATTGCAGGTGGAGGTGGGGGGAAGTTGGTTGGCAGGTGCCGCTGGGGGAGGGCTGGTCTTGAGGAACTCTTGGGAGCCAAAGGAGGTGGAGAAGGTCGGACTGGTTCTGGAGGTGGGGGTGGGACATTTCCGAAGTCCTGAGAAGAGAGAACACAACAATGTACAAAATGAGGTCTTGAAAAGTATAGAAAGTTTAAAAATAGATTTTGTAGTAAAATAGATTTTGTAATAATCTATACTTAAATATTTGTAACATGACATCATTCATGACGTACATGTAGTGGAATGATTGGCTTCCACTCCCTTTGATTCAAGATTCAGGTTTATTGTCATAACATATACAAAACTACGATGTAATTATGTAATGTATGGATAACTTCATCCATCGCAGGTTCCTCAACAGTGCAATTTACAAGACAAAAAAATATAAAAGACAACAATAGAAATAGTACAAGCTCGGGTGTTAAATAGTCTTGAAACTGTCCCTGAGTCTGCAGCTCCGCCTGCCAGACAGAAATTGTGCCATATCATACATTTAAAGGAGAAAAACATATATAATTATATCGTTTATAGTAGCCTTTTACCAAAGACTAGCATGTAACCTATCAGAGCTCAAACTGGCCCTAAAAAAAGATTTCAAAATGTAACCTCAAGATTCCAGCAAAGTTTATATTTGTCAATATTGTCAATTGAATATATTTGAATTCGGTCCAAAGGTAATGTACCTTGGCATTTTTTTAAATGTCTCACCATTTTCCAACATCTTATAAGTTAATCAATATTTATCAAGTGATAAATTGATAACAAAAATAAAACTGTACCTTGGTAACAGGTCCTGGTGGGGGCGTGGGAACATGACCGTTGGCCTGGCTGGTTGATTTAGCTGGCAGAGAAGGAGAAACGCCATGAGTAAAAATTGTGTACACGCAACATTTCTACATGTGGGTTGTTTCCCATCAGTGACACTCTGTAGGACAGTGTGTGTGGTGCTACCTCTGATGGTGGGTGAGGGTGTTGATGGGTTGGAGCTGGATGGAGTGCTGCAGTTTGTCCAAGCAGAGCCGACAGCTGCCTTCCTCTCTGCGGTTTTATAGTTTTCATACAGCGACTTACCATACTGGAACGGCAAGACACAAACCACCGAGCATGAGTTTTAGTCCAATAGAGAAGATAAAAATGTTCCAATCATCAAATGGAAAGGTGTTAAAATGTACCTTTGCAATCCGTATTCCGGTTACCCAAAGGTTCATTGAATTTTCATCATCGCAGCAGAGGTACTTAATGTACTGAGACTCTTTTTGGATCTGAGGGTGCTGTGGAGACAAATACAAGATAAACAGGTTATTTGATCATTTGTTACTATCTTTTATAGGCATGGGACGATAACAGAATTTCATGTCACCATTAAATATACGAGATTCACGATATTGTCTGGAAATATTATGCTTAAAACTCTTAATATGTCCATAACAATACTGCAATGACTTGACATTGCATTTACATTTATTTGTATCTAATCCCTTTAGGACTTTTAAATGTCAAAAAACATAACATAATGTAATAATAAATCATATGATCCATCTATATAAATAAATGAAATTACATTAGCATAATTGTTTCTTACATGATTCAGCCAGTATTTTTATAATTCAGGCTACATACAGTGAGTGTTTCTGACACAATCAATGGCTTATAATTGGACGCTTGAGGGAAATGAAGGTAAAATAATGTTACACACAACTTCACTGAACCCAAATAACCATACTTTTATCTCACATTTAATTTGCAATAAGCTAATTTTGCAGTATTTGACCAAAACATGATATATGGTCTATGACCTAATTTCAAGCTGTTGTCCACTACTACTACTACTACAAAAAATCATACAGCAAAAAAGCCTTAGACTCTGCCTTTACTAAAGTTTTTGATTTAATCATTCAGCATTGCACTTCTATATCATTTGTATTTAAATGCTGCAGAAGTTTTTCATGCCATGAACCCAAGTCCTTTTCAAAACCTGGACACAACATTACCCACAATGCAACTCAAGTACGAACTACACTAACAGAATCAGGTGTGTTGTGCTAAAAGTGGCAAATAGACATTCGAGTCACCAGCGTCATTTATTTTCATCTACACCCCAAGATTTTTTCATTTTCAACTTAAACAATGATGATGATGACAATGCTGACTCAAGGGACATCACTTGAGGCAATGTACACGACATTTTTGTGTAAAAACTTTGGAGTTTGCTTTTAAAAAGGTACCACAAGGGGGCAGAGTGAGTCTAGTATCAGAGTGTAAATGGCCTAATCCAGTTAAATGGATGCTATATTTTTTAGTTCATGTTCTATGGCAGCGGTTCCCAACCTGTGGCCCGCGGCACCCTAGTGGCCCGCGAAGGCATTGCAAGTGGGCCGCCAAATAATTTTTATTTGTATTAGTATTTTTTGTAATCTTTTTTTTTGTACAGGCTAAAGACACAAACATGGACATAACAATAACATATAGGAGATGACATTCCCATTTCAGACAAAAATAAAACAAAAACAGAATAAATAAAGATACAGTCAGTAGGATCACTTCAACATTTCACAAACAAAAATAGGTTGACAACCAAATACCACCAAAAACACAAAATGGCAAGCATATTGTTCCTTTAATCCCACTCTTTGTTAGAGCTAATTATTTCCCATTTCATGGCGTGTTGAGCCACCCTTTGATTTTTCTGGCAGTCATTTTTTCCAAAAGAAATTGTATTTTTAATCTGCTCTTCAAACACCTTAAATTAAGATTACTCCTTGATTGACTTTTAAAAATATGTATTTAAGCTAGGAGAATAGTTCTATTTATTAACTGTGTGTCTTCAACTAAAAGCCCAAATAAAATATTAAAGTCCTTATCTTGCGTAATTTACTGTAGCTGAAAGATCATAGAACTGTTTCAAAATGCATTAACTTGTTGGGTCTTATTCCAGTAACACGTGATATAGATCGAATATCGTTTCCTATTTGCTGTAAATCACTTGTTAATATCGGGAAAATGGGTCAAATTCAGAGGTATCCAGAAAAGTCTGGATTCAAACTTGCCGCTGCTTGGTGCTGTGTCGTGACGTCACGTGTGGTTCCGCGAATCCTGGTGAGTTCAGCCCGTCCCAGCATCACACAGTGTAGCATTGCTGGTATAGCNCAAAAACAGTTTTTAATGTAAGATAAGGACTTTAAAGGGTGTAAATGTAAATTCAATATTTACCGCCAAATAATTTGCAAAACATTATGTGGAAACATTTTGATTATTAAGATTTGTTTTTATTTTAACCT